CCTTCCGTCACTCGGGACTTAGAAAATATTTCGACATCCAAAACTCAGCTTCTCTGAAGCAAACGACGGACCAGCAGCACGGACCGTAGATCGACCTACGGTCCGTCAATCCCCTCCGTAGCTCCATACTTAGAATCTTCAAAAATCAGGTACTGGAACCCTCGCAGTATCACTCTACGGATCAACAGTACGGTCCGTAGATCAGTGTACGGACCGTCAATGGGCGTCGTGGTTCCACACTTGGTGAGATTTCCCTGATTTATCCTCAACACATTCCTGCTGATCTACGGTCATCACCTATGGACCGTGAATGGACTTACGGTCCGTAGATGACCTCCGTGAATGCCTTTTTCTGCATTTCCTTCAGCTATCTCTAAACTTCCGCGCCTGAACACCTTTCTGCACAACATGATAAAACACATAAAAATCAATATAAAAAGGCCCTAGACACAGACAACTTGTAAGTGAAACGTATTAGAAATACCGTAAACTCACGGTATATCACTAGTCAGACTGACCATCTGTCTGAGGGTGAAAATATGTACTCATATCTAATCGAGTACCCAAACCATGATACAATTCCTTCCAGAAATGGGAAGTGAACAATGAACCTCGATCAGAGAGAATAGAAAACTGAGACTCCATGCAATCACACATGATATAAATCTCGGCTAACTTCCCCGTTGTATACTTCACCCGAACTGGGATGAAATGGGAGGACTTGGTCAACCTATCAGCAACCACCCAAATGGAGTCATAACCACCCACACTTGTAGGTAGTCCCACAAAAAAGTTCATAGTGATATGCTTCAACTTCCAAGTAGGATTATGCATCCTCTAAGATATACCTCCAGGCCACTAGTGCTCACACTTGACATGTTGACAAGTCAAACACCACGAAACAAAATCTGCAATATCTCTATTTATACCACACCACCAATAGTGCTGGCTCAGGTCATGATACATATATATTCACCGCACCTAGATGGATGGACTATTGGGAACAATGGGCTTCCTCAAGAATTAATCTAATCAACTTGCCCACCTTAGGCAAAAAATCCCGCCTCCAATCTGTAAGACACCATCATAATCAAGGACATCCTCCTTGGCTTCCCATCTCATCACCTTCTCTCAGATGAGACATAGTTTCTCATCATCAAACAGATGTTCACGAATCTTCTCAACTAAGGAAGAACGAGCCTCAATAAAAGTAATTAGGCCACCCGTCTCCTTAAAAATCCACAAACAGACGAGACTATTGGCTAACCTTTAAACATAATTAGCCAATGGTCTCTCCTCCACACTAATAGCGGCAAAATTTCCCATGCTAGAAGTCTTTCTACTCATAGCATCGACCATCATATTGGCCATCCCTTGATGATAAAAGATGGTGATGTTATAGTCCTTCAATATCTCAAGCCATCTGCGCTACCTTAAGTTTAGATCCCTCTGACTAAAAATGTACTGAAGACTCTGATGGTCCATGAAGACCTCACAATGAAACCCGTACAGATAATGTCGCCATATCTTAAGCACAAACACAACGACTACCAACTCCAAATCATGGTTAGGGTAATTCCCCTCATGGGTTTTTAACTGTCTAGAGGCATAGACAATCACCTTACCCTTCTGCATCAGAACATCGCCTAACCCGACTCCAGAAGCATCACCATAAACAGTGAAATCCACACCCTTCTCGGGTAGAGTCAAAACATGAGCTGATGTCAACAAGGTCTTAAGACTTTGAAAGCTCTCCTCACACTCATCACACCATTGAAAACTCACACCATGAAGAGTCAATCTAGTCAAGGGATATGCAATAGTAGAGAAGCTCTTAACTGATGTAAGTCTGGTCCAATCCATCACTGCTTCAATCTTGGCTGGATCTACCCAAATATCCTCATTGGATACCACGTGCCCAAAAATTCCACAGAATCAAGCTAAAACTTGCACTTCGAGAACTTGGAATAAAACTTCTCTTTTATCAATCTCTGGAGTACAATCCTCAAATGCTGATTGTGATCTTCCTCAGTCTTGGAGTATACCAAGATGTCATCAATGAACACTATCACAAAGGTATTCTGATAAGGTCGGAACACCCCATTCATCAACTCAATGAATGATGCAGGGGTATAAGTCAAACCGAATGACATCATAAGAAACTCATAGTGACCATAATGAGTCCAAAAAATTATCATAGGGTTGTCCGATGCCTTAATATTCAGCTCGTGATAACCGAATCTCAAATCAATCTTAGAAAATAGAGATGGAACCTGAAGCTGATCAAACAAATCATCAATACGAGAAATATGATACTTGTTCTTCACTGTCACTTTGTTCAACTGTTGATAATTAATAAACATCCTCATGGATTCATCTTTCTTCCTCACAAACAACATATGAGCACCCATGGAGAAACACTAGGGCGAATAAACCCCTTACTCAATAAATCCTGCTACTGATCCTTTAATTCCTTCAACTAAGTTGGAGCCATACGATAAAGATGAATTGGGATGGTCTTGGTGCCCGGATCCAAGTTAATAACAAAGTCAATATCCCTATTCGGAGGAACACTTGGAAGATCTGTAGGAAACACATCTGTAAACTCTCGAACCATGTGCACGAAATCCATGTGAGGTGGCTTAACACCAGTATCCCGAATGAAATCCAAGTAGGACAAACACCCTCTATCCACCAATCTATAAGCTCTAATCAATGAGATAACCTTGCTAGGGTTAGAACCACTAGCACTCGTCCACTCAACTCTCGGGACACCTAGCATCTTTATGGTCAAAGTCTTATCATAACAATCAAGGATAGCATGATGCAGAGAAAGCAAATCCATACCCAAGGTAATATTAAAGTCTACCATTTGGGAAAAGATCAGGTCTAACCAAGTATCATACCCGGCCAAAGAAACAAGACAGGATCGATACACTCGATCCACCATTAAGTATTCACCCACTGGTGTAGAAACATGAATAGGCACAGACATGCAATCATAAAACATATCAAAACTAACAACAAAATAGGTAGACACATATGAGAAAGTAGATCCCGGATCAAACAATATAGACATAGGTCGATGGAAAACTTGGATGATACTTGTGATCACAAGATCAGAAGTCGCAGCCTTAGGCCTCCCTATAAAATCATAAAACTGGCCATCTCAATTGTCTATAGTCTGAGTAGAACCTCTACCTCCACCTTGTGGAGCTGTAGTACCCCTACAAGTAGTCCTGCCACCTCTATCGAACTGAACTCTGCCTCGACCCCTGGCTGGAGGCACTAAAACCCTAGTTGGAGCAGCTGAATAAGAACGCTGAGGTCCTGCATGAGTCTGTAGAGGACACTAACACATCATATGATTTAGATCTCCACAGGTAAAGCAAGATCTCAGCATAGATAACTGCTGCTGTGAACCAGACGAACTACCATGGCCACTTTGGACAGAACCATAGGATCTTCAAGATGACTACCCATTCTCAACTGCTAGCATAAAAGCATCAACCGATCCACGACGCTGGAAGAAACCACCACCTCTTTGTTAACCACTGCCTCCAGATGAGGCACCAGAAAGCTGACAAGAAGAACAAGCCCTCTTGGGCTCCCCAAACTCTTCTAAAACCATCAACTCCGCCTTTTTGGTGGTGTTCACAATGGAATGGAAGGAATCCCCCTCTGTAGCTTTCCTAAACACATAAGATTTGATGGAGAAAGTCAACCCTCTCACAAACCGGTGTACTCTCTCTGCCTCATCCGACACAATAGTCACAACATGCCTAGAAAGCTCACAAAAATGGGCTTCATACTCAGTCATAGACAAACTGCCCTAAACCAAGCTCTCCAATTGCAGACGGCTCTCCTCTCTCACTCTCCACGAAATAAAGCGGTCTTGGAAAGCACTAGAAAACACATCCCACTCTGCTGGAGGAGATCCAACTAGTCTAGATCTTAAAAAGTCCTCCACCATTCTCTGGCGCGACCACGAAAGTAAATGGCAATAGATCGAACACCACGATCATCCGCCATACCTACAACCTCAAGCATCTCATAGCACAAAGTCAAGAACTCATGAGTATCCTCGCTCTTACCACCCTAAAATTAGGGTGGTTTCATCTTCTGAAACCTATCATAACACTACTAATCAGTTGTTGTCAAGATAACCTCAGGAGCGTTTTTGCACCAAAAACTGGTATAACACTATGCACGATAAGAAATAATGAATAAAAAGAAGTTTCCTAACAATCTTTGTAGCCTCTTGTAAATAAGTTCACACGTCTCTGTACCTATCTTTAAGACTTTACTTAGACTTTGCTTGTACAAACATGAGACCTATGAACCTAGGCTCTCATACTATTTTGTCATGACCCAAAAATAGACGTGATGTCACTTGTCTATTCCAACCAAAATTAGTCAGCCTTAACCCAACGAAAATGAAAACAAAAGAAAAGCAGAAAATAGTAAAAACAAGAACAAGATAAAATGGAAAACTTATTCTTCTATTAAAACCCCCAAAATATGGTTGTCACGTGTACAAGCCACTATATACATAAGTGCAAAACTAATAAATAAATACAAGTCTCAAGCTTTGTTTCTCAAATAGAACAAAGTGTAAGGAAAGGAAAAAAGAGGGCCCGTCGAATGACAAGCAACTACCTCTTCAAGTCTTGACGAGCCTCGAGATTGATAGAAGGAGGAGAGATCACATGGGTCCAGGCTCGGAACCTACACAAGTGTAGAAGCAAGGGGTGAGTACCAATAAGACGGTACCCAACAAGCAACATACTAAACAAATCAGCTAGCTAGAAATCGAATACCCCTTACACTCAAATCGAACATCCTCAAATTACAACCTGTACAAAAATCAACCCAACCTAGCAATTCTACAATACATGACTCACTAACCTAATATTCACCGTTCAACAATTAACAAATCAAATAAGTCAATATCAATGAAAAGTAGTTTAGTCACACACAACAAGTACATCAATCACAATTCACAAGTAAGTCACGTATAAGCATTAAGTGCATCAAGTCAAAATGATCATCACTAGCCGGAACCATTTTCCATTGGCTTAATAACGCTCGCTAACAAAGACCTTGGCATAATAAAACTCGCTGGTAAATATATCGATATAATAACACTTACCGATAAAGACCTCGGCATGATAACACTCACCGGCAAAGACCTCGACATGATAACACTCGTCAGAAAAGACCTCGGCATAATGACACTCGCCCGTAAAAACCTCGGCATAATAACACTTGCCCATAAAGAGCCCACATGATGACACTCATCACATGTCTCATCACGGTGTCCACAATCAATGCATACAAGCAATATTATACCATATGTAAGAGACAACAAATCATACAATTCAAGTCAATAGTCCTGCTTTCAAGCATTTCATCAATCAATCAGTAAAGGTCACAATAAGGCAATTCACATCATCATGTTCATCACATAGCCCTTTTTCATTTCAACCCCATTTTGTTCATTTAGACATAACAAGTGGACAATATAAACCCTTCACCTCATTCCCATTACTCCCAACACACAACAAACAAATGAAGGATAAAAATTTAACTAGGATAAAAGGTTTGGGAATCCACTTGCCTTAAATCAATCAACAATCACTCCAATAGTTGAGTTTTCCCCTTTCAGATCACATTCAAAGCTACACAATCTATGTAAAACTAAGTATTCACAATAAATTTCTGGAAACAACAATACCCACATAATTTTCTCTTGAAAAGAAAATCATTACTCAAGACTGATAAAAACCCAATTCTGATAAGGTTTGAATCCAAAATTTAATATTTGAAAACATTACTCAAGACTTTAGGAACTCAATAGGGAAAATCATTTTGAAAAAGGACTTAAACACAATTCATAAACTCACTTTTACTTAAAAACTCAAGTTCATGAAGAACCCCCAATTTATCAACTCACAATCTTGATTTAAACTCAAAAATTCATAATAATAATAATGGGTAATAAAAAATTTAGAGTTAAGAAACGTTACCCAACAATTTCATCTCGAAAAACCCACTTAAAATCACATTTAACGAGTTCTCCAAGCTCCAAAAATAAAAATGAGGAAGAAACCCCAATATTTGGGTTTAAACACTGTCAGGGGTCTTTCTCGAACGCGAACCCCTGTCCGCGAATGAGGGTTTTAATGACCTTGACTTACGCAAACTAGCAGGTCTCCCGCGAATGTGGTGGTTAACACATTGACCTCCCGCAAACGTGGTCGAGACTCCGCGAACGTAGGGTTGTCACCACCTCCTTTCCGCGAACACAACCACAAGCTCCGCAAACGTGGGGGGTTCCACAATTTCATAACTTAGGACCTCAAATGCTCAAAAGACTTGGAAGCTGAAATTAACGACTCTCTGAAATCAGATTTCATATTTTGAGACTGATGGAATCGACGGAATCCTATTCCGACACTCAAAACTCCAAAAGACACTGAAAACCACTTCATTAACAACTTAGTCTTTCAAACTCAAAACTTACCAAATTCTTAACTTTTAACTCAATGTTCAAAACGAACTTTTCAAACTTAGTAAAAAATGACTCGAGATCGACATCAGTAGGGGCAAAACGATAAATTTCCAAAACTTTCCAAAAAAATACTGACTGAGTCATTACAATCCATTACAAAATTCAACAATTATAAACAAACTCATCACCATCAAAAGGTGCAAACCCACCACCATTGTAAATATCAATTTTTCTTCTTCACCTCCTTCAATTCCCACTTCTTTGCCAACTTATCACCAACAAATTCATTATTACATTTTATTTTTTAAACTCAATCATCAGTTTTATCAACTACCTACAAAGATGAAGAGAAAATTCCAATATAATGTAGATGGCAAAATCGGATAAGCATTGAAATAGGATATGATGGAAGTGGGGGGTGGGGTGAGGGAAAGGATCATGGTGGAGATGGGATGGGGTGGATGGAAATTGGATATGGAAAATGAAGAAAAATATAAAAGATAAAAAGAAGAAGAAGATGGGGGCTGCGTGTGAAGAAGAAGAAGAGGAGGTGTGGGGGTGGGGGTGGAGGTAGGATGGTGGTAAAAGGAAGATTTTGATTTATTTTTTTAGCTAACACTTTTTTCTTTTTTTAATTTTTGCCACTCAGTTTTAGGGGTTAAAATAATTCATTTTTGAATAGTAAGAGTGTGTAATAAATCATCATGATAGTTTAAACATAAAATTGACTTTTTGTGATAAATTTAGAGGTGAATTTATGCCTTTTTCCTTACAAGAATAAGTGATATACTCATATGACCATATGTGAAATTTACATGACGCTTTTGCGATGGCAATGATAACAACTTAGAAAAGCGATGGAAGTCGCGGAAGTCGCTTAATTGACATTGATATCTC